CATTCTCATCCCGTTATGACCCTTGCTTCTCTTCCTTTTCATTCATACCACCACAGGTTCAGCTCACACCCATCCTACCCTTCCGTCATGTTCTGTACCAGCATCCCAACTGATGTCTTACGTACTGATTCTCCATATTCCTCTTTCTTACCCAATACTGCTGCCATGTGATTATCATAGAAGTTCCACTTTTATCACATATCACTCAATTTGTCAAAACCCCAGGTGCCTACCAACCACTGAATTCATTGTGCTTTCCGAGATTCTGCATAAAGAACTCATGCTAACTTTCCAACAAGAGCTAATCCCTATATCCTGATTATCAGAGCACATCACAACTGTACTGGTGAAAATCGGCCTAACACATCTCTCACCCCCCAGCACCAGCATACTGCGGACTGTATTCCAGTCTTCTGTAAATCTGAATGTCTGTGCTTCTGTCAAAGTCCCATGATTCTTTCAAGTCCAATCTAAAATCCTGTTCCCTGTTTGAAGGCTGCTGCTGGTTCTTTCCTTAGCCCAATACTACTTTTTGCTTCCCTGTACTCAAAACACATTCTTAAGGCACTCCCCGTGGTTTTGCTTGTCTTTTGTTTGTTTTTTTGTTTTTTGCCTTCATCTCTAGACATTCTTGGCATCCTACCTAGTAGACTATAAGCCATTTAAGGGCAAAAAGTATGTTTTATTCATCTCTGGGTACTTGCAGCTTCTGCCATGAATGATAACCACCTAATAAATATATCTTAAATTGGCCCCACAAGCTAAGATTCGTGAAAAAGGAACCCACAAAGGAAGATTCACAGAGGTCACAGCAAAAATCCAACATCATGCAGGGATATTCAAAACACTTTCGGGACCTCAAAAAAGATAACTGACTAGTGTTACTCACCTATTAAATTGGCTAAAAACTGGAACACTGGCACCGCCAGATGTTAGTATGGATGTGAAGCAATAGGAGCACTCATTCATTGCTGGTGGGAATGCGAAAGGGTAAGTTGCTTTGGAAAACAGTTTGATGGTTTCCTACAAAACTAAATATATTCTTACCATGCAATCCAGCAATCGCACTCCTTGGCATTTACTCAAAGGAGTTGAAAACATATGTCCATACAAAATCCTGCACAAGGATGTTTATAGCAGCTTTATTCATAATTGCCCAAACTTGGAAGCAGCCAAGATGTAGCTCAGTAGGTGAATGGATAAATAAGTTATGGTACATCCAGATAATTGAATATTATTTATTCAGTGACAAAAGTAAATGAGCTATCATGGCATGCAAAAACATAGAGAAACCTAAATACATATTATCAAGTTTAAGCAGCCAATCTGAAAAAGCCACATACTGTATGATTACAAATATATAATATTCTGGAAGAGGCAAAATTATGAAGACAATAAAAATATGAGTGGTGGTGAGAGGTTAAGGTCGTGGGGGCAGAGGAGGAAGGGATAAATAAGCAAAGAACAGAAGAATTTTAGGGTAGTTAAAATACTCTGTATGAGAATATAATAACGGATACATGTCATTATACATTTGTCCAAACCCACAAGAGTATACAACACCAGGAGTAAACGGTCATGTAAACTATGGTCTCTGGTTGATAATCACTCATCAATTATAACAATGTACCACTCTGGCTGGGGACATCGCTCATGGGAGAACATAGAAAAAAATCAGTAGCTTATTCTGAATTCAGGAATTCAGTAGCTTATTTTCTAGTATATGTGTGGGGAGTATGTGGGAAATCTTGGTACCTTCCACTCAAATTTGCTGTGAACTTTAAATTGCTCTAAAAAAAGAGTTTTAATAAAACAAAAATACCTACAGAATTTGCATTACATCTATCCATGTTTACTAAAAGCCTCCCCTCACACTATTATTTAAATACAAATTTCCTACTTCCACACCTCTATTGCCTAGGTTAAAAGCATTCAACTCTTTTGCTAAATAAAATGCTGCCCTCAAGCCTGAAATGCCAAGCAAATCACACAAAGAGGGACAATTACATCTTCTTTTACTTCCTCTGGGGTAATCCTGATATGTGTCAAATTATTCACAAGTTTTATGGCTCAAGAATATTTTTTAAAAACTGCACTAAAGGGACACCTGGGTGGCTCTGTGCGTTAAGCCTCTGCCTTCGGCTCAGGTGATGATCTCAGGGTCCTGGGATCGAGCCCCACATCGGGCTCTCTGCTCAGCGGGGGGCCTGCTTCCCCCCGCCCCCGCCCGCCTGTTGCTCTGCCTACTTGTGATCTCTCTTTCTGTATCAAATAAATAAATAAATAAAATAAAATCTTAAAAAAAAAAACCTGCACTAAATCATGTTATTAAGAGAAAAGGGGAAAAATGGAAAGAGGATGGGGACTAGTTAGTTAACATTAATGATAGATGTCTTAAATCTCTTATCTCATTTAATCTCCAAAATCATCTGGTGCATTTAACTTTACGTTGCAAAATAAAAAATGGGAATGGGAGAGGACCTCAGAGATAATTCCTTGTTCAGACTCAGTCACTTTCAAACGCAGGTGTGACCCCCTTTAAGTACATGTTCTTAAAGTGACACCCCACCACCTCCCAGATAGTAAGAAAGTAGAGACAGGTGGGCATCATAGTAATGGTCGATAGGAATCAGTTCTGGGGTGCTAACCAGAAAAGGAGAGATTACATAGACAGGAGAGATATCTGAACTGCATAATTTAGTGGTCATCATTCGGTGAATTTATTGCATTCACTTCTGTTTTTCGTTATCCAGAATATGACTAGCTTCATTATTTTCCTAGGACACTGGAGTTCGGTTGGCTGACATAATCTCACAAGAATACAGATATTTGTGCAGTATTACTATGTAGATGTGTAAGAACACTGTTTGGCAAAAACAATTAACTATATTAATTTATGCTCAAATCTGGGATAGGGATAGGAATAGCTCCTGAAAGTAATCATAGGAATTTTTTTCTATGTTCTCTCTGTCAGTCTATTTTGTTTCTTTAAAAAAAAAAAAAAAAATTTCCCTAGAAAAAATCAATCTCAGATTAGTTTTTAAAATATAATCTTTGATCTTCTTATATTTGTTTTAAAATTTTTAAATGTGTTTATGAGCAGGTTCTGCTGAAGAAAAGACAGTCTGTGCTCTTATCAATACTAAAATGCATCATGATGACTTTCACTTGTTACTTGTAATTTTCTGATTCTGTCATTTTTAGCTTTAATTTTGCATTAAGGAAATTTAAAGTTAAATCTTGACTTCAGGCTGCTCTCTGCTGACTACTTTTTATTGGCTTTTTGATCAAAACAGAATAACAAAATGCCATAGAAGAAGCCCAAAGTAATCAAACTGGAGTTGACTAAATTCTATACTAAATTCAGAGTTTCTATCTACTTAATTGTGGAATATGGGTATCCTGTACAATATTTATAGTGATAGTGTTAAAGAACTTGGTATATAGCTGGTTTTAGTATTTCTGTCCACCTGAAGTAACTTTAAGGAGATCTGGAAGGCCTGTGTCCTTATAGAAGTGCTTTTTGTCTTGGATTTCAGCTAAGCTATGTCTCAATAGGAGTCATATACCTCCATCTTGTGGCTCAGTCATAAAATTCCCATGCTTTCTTTTTTCCAAGATATTCTAATTTTGCAGTAAGTTTTAAACTTCCCAATCTCTTAATGAATACCATAATACCAAAATACCATATTGAAAATTGTTTAAGATTTGTGTAAAACTGAATGGTAAATAATTAGTGGCTTTTAGGAAGTTAAGCATGGTCTCAGCTGTTCCTAAAAGTCACTATTAATCATGAAACACAAGTCTATTCTCCTGGCCAGCCAGTGAAAAAGCCATTTTCCCTTATTCCCCTAAAGAAAAAAAAAAAGTTTCTTTTGTCTTGTTTGATTTTTTTCCTAATGTCATTTCACAGTGATGTATTCACAACTCTTTTTAAAATTCCATTTTATCAGCATATGATTAAGTATTTAGTTAGGAATAAGATCAAAAGACTTATTTAAACTCTAGATATGTTATCTCTTTGCTTTCTCACAACCTACCAAATTCATTCCTTTATTACAGAAATATTTTTTACTTTAATTAGGTCAGTTTTCTTCCTTAAGAATCAATACTAATATTTATTCAACATGCACAAAATGGGAATTATGAAGCTTTTTTTCTAGTATCTTCAGAATACCCATGAAATCTGCAATTATATAATTTTAGTGCCGTTTATTATTTAACTCAATTTATTATGGACTCTTTTTTAGTCATTAAACATCCTTTCTCTTTGTTCTGCACTCCAGAATCACTCTTCTGTGCTAACTCTAGCTGTACTCCCAAACCATTCTGATCTTTTCAAAATGACAGCTGAGACATTTATTTTTTTAAATGATGAATTTATGAGCCCGATGTTTGAGCAGAACTTTTTATTTTTTTGTTAAATCCAACCACCTAATTAAAGCAGCAAGTCCCTTTTAATGTACATCTGATTGAAATTAATGTTGGGGGGTTTAGTGGTCTAACATTGTTTCTGATTACATGTTGCATATCATAGCTAAATTCTGAAGCTTGCTACACTGATATTTATGAAGACCTCCATATTGTAATATGAGCTTTTTACTCTACAGAATTTTTGTTTTTATTTTATATTTCTCTTATTTTTAATTTGATATGTCTCATCTGTGTCTCTTAGATTATTTCAAGTAATTTGGACTACATATCAGCTATAATTATCTAATTCTCTGTCACCTTCTATTAAAAGAACAACATTCCCATCATTGTTAACTTGGTCTATATGTTCATTGCTGTAGAGATTATAACTTTGCACTTTGTTGCTTTGGTTCATTCATTCTTTTGATTCATGTGAAGCACTCTTCAGCTATTGTTCATTGTCTAGTAAAATTTTCACTTTGGAGAAGTGAGGATAAATATAATCTCAATTAAAAGAACAATGAATTATTTTCCAAATTGGTAATATATCACTCTAACTGAAAAGTCAATGCCTCTTTCCTTTTCAGAGGCGAGCTGCTGATAATTTGAGAAGACATCACCAATATCAAGTAAGTTATTCTACTGTATCTTGAAATTTGCCTTAAAATAAACTATAGCCCCTCTTCAGAACTGACTCAAGAGAAAAATCATATTTCTGCACTGAATATTAATTCTTGTGTTTTGACATACCTCAGGAGGTTATGAGGAACCTGGTAAAGCGATACGTTGCCGCAATGATCAGAGATGCCAAAACTGAAGAAGGGCTGACTGAAGAGAACTTTAAGGTAATCATTTTCATCTTCATCACCAAGAGGCGGGTTCCACAGAGCATGGAACCAGATACAGCACATTTAAAATCAGAGCTGGAAACTCAGCTGTGTGTTCTAGCAAGCCCATGTGTTGTCTCCTCCTCCTCTCCCTGCTCCACCTCCTTCTAATAGGATTTATTTATTTTAGAGAGACAGAATGAGAGCGGAAGTCAGAGGGAGAGAGAGACATTCTCAAGCAGACTCCCTGCACTGAGCGCAGAGCCCAACACAGGGGTCGATCCCATGACTCTGAGATCATGACCTGAGCTGAAATCAAGAGCCAGGCGCTTGACTGACCGAGCCACCCAGGCACCCCTTCTTACTTTTAGATTCAAGGCTGTTTAACTATTAAAAAGAAAAAAAAGTGCTGAAATTTCTTTTCAAAATATATTGTTTTCGAGCACATTTAATCTGAAATATGGAAGGCACTTATACTTGGAGGCAGAAAAAACCCTAGAGTCCAGTGGCATTTGGACTTGCTGATCCCACCAGCACTCCAATGAGTGAGCTTTAGTTTTTGAAATTTCAATCTGATTTCTGAACCTGAAACATTTAGTAACTAAGAAGCTAAAAGCAACAAGGAAAACCCTGTTTGTGCTCTGCAGTAGAAAATTCAAGGTTTGTGCCTAAGTGTAGCTTACACACTTAGTCTTTCTCCCTTTTTATTTATTTTTTATTTAATTCTATCAGAAGAGATAGGTGGAATGTATGTAATGTATATATGCTTGCACATGTGTATAAAATACCTTTGCTATTCTGCCTGAGTTCTTAGAGGTTTTGGAAGAATGAGCAAAGTCAGTAAGATCAGAGGATCATAGAGGCAAAAACAAGTAAAAAACCCTTCAGAAGAGTGAAAAGCAACAGGTTTCACAAGAGAATAGAGATAAGCAGCTGCTTCGGTAAAAAGGCAGATGAATTGCAAAATGTAAAGCACAGGTTGGAAGTTGTCCGGGATCTGAAATATTCTTTGCAGCCACAACATCCAAATTTTGTAGTTGAATGATTCATGATGTGTTGGGAGATTGGCTGGAGGCAGGAGGCCACCAGGAAGGCCACAGTCAGGTTAGGGCTGTCAGTTGTCCGAAAAGATTAGGACTATTGAGAATTCAGTTGTCCAAAAAAAAATAAAAGTAAAGGATGAATCTAAGAAATGTTATCTGATTTGAAGCAATTCGTGAGATTTAGTAGCTCACCCAGATGCTGAGATAAATTCAACTCCAAGGTGGCAAACTATGGAAGGTAACTGTCAGCTCGTAGAAGGGCAGACGCCACTGTAATTACTTTGTTTTAGATAGCCTTTGGGACAACAAAATGTGCTGATATTAGAAATCTTTTTTAAAAATGCATCCCTGAGAGAACAAGAGGTGCCTTGAAAGCAGATGAAGCTTTTGGAGAGGAAGCACTTGTTTCTTTTTGCATGAGCTCAGGGAGTCTCCACGTTACCACAGAACTCCAACAGGGAAATTAGCAGGAACCAAAATGACTCCAGTACCAGGGAGACAATCGCAGCAGAGCGGAATCCTCGCTCTTAAAAATGAGTGAAAACACATGAGAACCCTGTATGAAGCGTGCTCATGATGGTTCCTAATGTCTCTTTGTTTAGGTCCTAAGCTAATTGCGTCATTTTACATCCCACCTAGGAACTAAAGCAAGACATTTCCAGTTTCCGCTTTGAAGTCCTGGGGTTGCTACGAGGAAGCAAACTCTCCACAGTGCAGGCGGCTCAGGCCACGAAGGAGTCCTCCAATTCGGCCGACTCGGATGAGAAGAGCGATAACGAGGGCAGCAGCAAGGACAAGCGAAAGAACTTCAGCCTGTTCGACTTAACCACGCTGATTCACCCGCGATCAGCCGCCATTGCCTCCGAAAGACACAACATAAGCAACGGCTCGGCTCTGGTGATGCAGGAGCCCCCGAGGGAGAAGCAGAGAAAAGTGAATTTTGTGACCGATATCAAAAACTTCGGGTTATTTCACAGACGATCCAAACAAAACGCTGCTGAGCAAAATGCAAACCAGATCTTCTCTGTTTCAGAAGAAGTCACTCGTCAACAGGCCGAAAGACCAATGGAGAGAAATATTCAACTGGAATCTCGAGGGTTGGCTTCCCGGGGTGACTTGAACATCCCGGGTCTCAGCGAACAGTGTATATTAGTAGACCACCGAGAACGGAACACGGACACCCTGGGCTTACAGGTGGGCAAGAGAGTGTGTTCCTTCAAGTCGGAGAAGGTGGTGGTGGAGGACACCGTCCCAATCATACCAAAGGAGAAGCATGAGAAGGAAGAAGACTCTAGCATAGACTATGACGGAAACCTCACAGACACAGTCAGCCACGAGGATTACGTGACCACCAGGTTGTGACACTTGAAGGAGGAAGCGTTGGTCATGCATATAGATATTTTCCATAGTGCTCTGGGGAGGGGGAGAATTAGCAAAAGCTAACTTACACTTTATATCATTTATCAACTGTGGCATAGTAACGCGTAACATGTTTAACTGAGGCAAAGGCTATCAGAAACCCTGGTTTTGTAACCAGCTTTTGCTTTCACAATTTGTTTTACCCATTTTTTTGGTTGACGTTAATAAATGCACCGTGTATCTTGTACTGTTGCAATAATCCACAGGAAATTTTTAGCTCTCTTTTTCAACTAAAACAAACCCAACTTATTCATGTGGTAGTTGACTCCTATGATAGATATTTTTATATGCAAAAAACAGTGTAGCTGAAATATTCGAGCTTTTCATAATTTTTTAGGGTCTTTAGAGATGGTGACTCATCAAGGACTTTTCAGGCAGCCTTATAGTGTGGCTTTAATACACAAATATTACCAAATTATTTCTTACCATGTAAATAATTACAGCACAAATTAAAGTAAGCAAGCCCTCTTCTCATGGAGTCAGGATTAAACTCCCTCTTAAAACGGAAGTCAGGTGTACTTTGGAGTTTTAGATGGCCCAATTTTTACTTTCAGTAAGTAAAATAAATGTTTGTCTTCATAAGTACTGACAATTGATGATTTTTTAATGAGATTTTGTCATGACAGAAGTTTTATTTCAACTTTTTTTTTTTAAATGACCTTTTTTGGGTTCAATTACTAGTCATTATAAATACCAGGCTTTATGAATAACAGAATTTCAAAACGTGGCAAAAGTTCTCAGTGCTAGAAAAGAATAACAGTAAATTAGAATAGTTAATGCACCTTAAACAAAGCAAAATGATTGCATTCTCATAATATCCAGATGAAAATAAATTCATTCTAAACTCTGAATCTAAGCAAAGTTAAGTTGTATTTTCAATCAGTGTGACATTGTTGTGAATTCAAAAGAAATACAAAATCCTCATGGTTTCCTCATCTTTCTTCCAGTGGCTGGTATATATTTCTTTAAAATTAAACTCACCCAAAATCATTATTAATTTTAGCAGTAGATACAGATATAAAGCTTTCCCCAGAGGGACAACATTCTTAATTACTTATTTCTTCTATTGTTTTCAAGGTAATCTAGATTATATTACACTTGTTCACAAACCACTAAAAACGAAGTGTTTTTGCCTGATATAAAAAGGCACTGGAAACTTCATAAAGTTTAAGTTATATAACTTGTGTCTATATAAGCCACCATGGAAACAGAAGTTCCTTCACCGCATACAATTAGCATGTATTTCAAATCATTAGAAAAATGCTGAGTTCGTTTTACTTCAGAAACTACCTCCATGGACTAGACAAATTGTACATGATTTAGCATTGACCCAAAACTGCATAGTTTCTGATTACCATACATGGAAAATAAGGAATAACATCAGTAACAGTGCCATCCACTATCCTATATGCAGGGCGAAAATCAACACCTATGTACTACTCACAACAATCCTCTAAAGGAGCTCCTATTCTTATCCCCACTTTATAGATGACGAAAGTGAGGCAAGTACTAATTGGGTAAAGGTGCACAGCTGATGATGGAGCTATGATGGGTCCCCCAGGGCCATACCCTTAATTACAATATGTACTGCCTCTCAGAACATAAACAGACCAAACAAAAATGTCCACTTAGAGGGGTTACAGTTGCTACTTCTGAAAGGACGTATTATGAGAGAGAAAGAGTTTGGTAAATTCCATAAATCTGTGTTCCCTCTTGTAAAGCAAGAGAAGAGCAAAAAATTAAAGATACATGTGATTTTTTAGACTCAAGCATATTATAGAAGTTAGTATATTTAAAATACATATTTGGTATGAGACATCAGAATTCAACTGGAAATACTAGATTTTAGTTTTCAAATAAGCTACAACCCAGAGGCACTGAGATACTATTCTTTCCTAAATCTGGTTTTGTCCTCAGGATAGGGAAATGGGTCTGGTAGGTTTGGAGAAACAATAGGGCTAATGCCTGTTCTTACTGCCTCAAGCACACCTTTATCTCAAGTATGTTAGGACTCAAAATAAGCCCTGGGAATAGCAAAACACCCAAACTGTTCTAAGTTGGACAGACATTCGGTAGTTAGGGAACACAGACCTATTCTCAATACTTGAGGTGTTTTCCAATTACTCTATTTTGCTGCTTCTGTTATTAATACTGTTATTTCCAAAGTAAAAAATTATATACATCACCATTATACATAATTTCCAGAATTTAATTTCAAATGTCCTCTGTTCCTTCAAATACCACCACTGACAATAAAAGCAACAACAAAATATGTTCCCAGGAATTTATTTCTAACAGGGATTAGGGTGCTGATATTTTACAGGGAAACATGGTGTTAACAGAGGGATTTACTTGGAGCCAGTAACCCCCTCCTTCTCATGTTCTGAAAATGATGGTTTTTAACAACCCTCAGATGTCACCGACAGATGCATTTATAAGTCTAAACAAAATATCAGATATTGTTAGTATAATATGTCCTAGGATTGAACATTATTCTGAATAGAAGGTGATATTAAGTAGCATTAATGAAGATGAAGAGTAGGGAAAGAATAGGAAAACATAAACAGCAGATTGCAAAATAGAAGGATGATATTTTTTGAGGTCTTTAAATGAGTAATTTGGGGTCTCTTTTCATTTCCATTCATATTTCTATTAACATAAATTCCTAAACACCAAAGAGGGGTTTGACATCGCACCTTCATTTGTATAAATACTGTTCCTATGTTTCATGTCATTTTGACCTTGTTATTTGTTGCTAATCTTTACTTATTTATTGCCAGGGTTAGGTGGAAGAATGTCTAAAAAATTCAGTTTAACTTTAATAGAATAGGTTATATTCACAGCACTTCATTTATCACCTATTTTGGAAAACCCATTTACAAGAGAAAATGCTATGAAGATGTACTTCACCATTTGCAACTGATGTATTCCTGAAAATATCTGTGTAAATAATTCTGTATCAACTTCAATAGGGAAACTGGCTATGTAAAAAAAAAAAAAAAAAAAGGTAGTGAATTATTTTGTAAAATGATGAATTATTTTTCAAAGTGATAATCATCCTCAGAATGTAACTGTTTCATAAGTTGAATATTTGTATATCAAATTTTCTTAAATTAGATATTTTATTTATCAGCTGTCAATTAAAATATTGCAAAAGCATACCCATTTTCTTGCCTTGACCTAGATAGCAACTCAACATACTTTAGCAATTGAACACACAAATCCAAACAATGAAATATCTTGGATAACCTTTGAGGTGTAAAGAAAGGAAAAATCTCATATTATTCTCAAAGAAGCAGTCAATTTCCTAGTCAGTATAGAAGGAATAACCAGTGATATAAAAATGCACTCTTCTAATATTCAGTAATCCTTACCAATTCTGGGATTTAGTGGAGTGAATGACTGTCCAGTCCCATGACTTTTGGTTGAAGAGTAGACATCAAGCCCTGAAATCTGTCCATTCTTAGTTATCATGAATTGTGTTTGTAACAGAAGAGTTTAGACAGAACCCTTAAAAATCAGCTAAGCAAAAACCACCTGTGTGACCCTATCAATATGTTTACAATGACTTAAATTTTTAAAAAGCTAAATTTATGAATATACTCACCATTTGGAAAATTATTTCTTCAGTTTAGCTTTATTACCATTTTTCTTTGTCTTATAGTCTCCAAAATTCAGACCTCCCAGTAATTTACATTTAGAAATTCCTTTTATAAATCTCCTTAAATTCAATTTCAAATATATTATTCTAATTATTTCACAATATATTACAATGAACTTTGTTTATATAATGTTATGACATGACTTTAGAAAATATTTTGGAATATATTAAATAAGTTCTCCAGAGATAAATGGAGAAACTAAGGTTCAAGGCATTTATGGCAATTATCCAAATTTACCCTGCTACTCAGTGGTTGAGTTGGAGCTTAAAGAAAAACTCTTCATGTAGATATTCAGATGAGATACCAGGTCATAAATGTCTCAACTAAAATGAATTCTTTTTTTTTTTTTTTTTGGAATTTTGTCTTCTTTGCTTTCTCCTTCAGTAGAAAGTATTTATAGTCATTCAAACTTTCCACAGCCCAATTCAGAAGATACTACCTTTTCCTCCCTACAAAATTGTGTTCATGGATTTTTTCAAAAAGCTGGCATCTTACCATTTTCTAAGAAATGGTAAGTTCATCATGTTCACTTCAACTATAGGTTCTGTGATAATTCTATACACATTCTGGTAATAATAAAATGTCTGAAATAAAATTAAACCTTCTCAAATGAAAAACGATAGAGCTGGAAAATATGAAGCTAACATGAGATTGAGACGATGAGACCAGGGCCTAATAGGGTCATGCTGTCACTGAGTTGGCAAAGAGTGAAGTTGTCTCTGCCAGTGAAATTTACCAGTAGGAAAACCATCAGCTTCCTCCAGAGCTGCACTGTCCAATGCGGTGGCTACTATTGACATATGGCTACTAAGCACCTGAAATGTCTATAAGTGTAAAACACACACTGGATTTTAAGGACTTAGTATGAAAACAAAGCAAAATATCTCCTTAATACGTACATTGGTTACATGTTGAAATAATAGTATTTTGGATGCATTGCGTTAAAATATATGAATTAAATTAGTTTCATGGTTCTTTTAATTTTTTGATGCAGCTACTAGAAAATTTCTAAAACACACATGTGACTCGCATTTGGAACTTGCAGTACATTTCTACTGGACAGTGGTGCTCTGGAGCATCTCTATTTGTTTCACTCAGTTCATGTATTTCCACCATTTGAATTTCATAGGTGAAACTTATGTATTCAACTACTCAAACATATTGTTTTTGTTCAATTAAAATTTGCTGTCTCTCCTTGATTCCCAGTCTCCTAATGGAATCACTGCTAATAATTTGCTGTTTTTCATGTTTTTCCTTGCCTTTGCAAATATATTAATATATATTATAAAATACACATATAATAATATATTAATATATAATTTATAATATAAATAAATACATAAATATATGTATAGGTTATGGGTTGTTATTGTTTTTATCAAGAATGGGATTTATACTATACCTATAATTTAGTGGCTTGTTTTTTATCTAATAGGGTATCATGGAAGACTTTTCTAGAGCTATTTAATATAGCAGAGTTATTTGAACTCACTCAAAAAAAATTCATTAATTGTTTTTATCTATTGAAATATATTCATACCCTGTTGCTAAAACGTTATTGGGTCAACCATAAAGTTTTGAGGAGTACTTGAGAGACAACGCCTTTCTAAAGGGCTAATATGCTCATTTTTATCTTCTGTTCACCTTGCAGAGCTATTTTTCTTGTGATTAAGTAAAGAGTCCATAGTATGACCTTCAAACAGTGGCCCCACTTCATGGGCCAGCATCATCCTTTCACACACACTAGACCTTAGCCATTCTGGATTTCTTTTAGGTATTTAAGACTTAATATTTCTCTTTCCCAACATTAGTAAATCCTATTCCTCCAGCCTTAGATCATAACTGGACCAAAATTTTATTACTTTAAAGAATTTTCTTAAATCCAGACTTTCAATTAATTGTAATTGATCTGTTTTTATGGTTTCCCTTACGTCTAATTGTTTTACCCAATGTCTTTTTTCTTAAAGATTTTCATTTCCTGAGCCTGCA